TTTCATTTTTTGTAGTTTTTTTTTTCTTTTCTAAAATTTTTAAATCTCTTTTTTCGGGGGCAGTGGGGGGGCGATTCTCTCTTGTTTCTTGATGCTTCCTAATTACCTGGGACAGTTTCTGGCTAGGAGGTCAGGGATTTGCTAGTAAGGCTAGCAGGTCCTCTTTCTCTAGGGTAAAGTAAGCTAGCTAGAACTGAGTTGGAGGATTGTGGTTGGTGTACGTTAGGATTCCTTGGCAGGTGTTTCTATAAGTTCAGACTGACTTAAGTTGAGATTTGTGATGTGGAATGGGCCACTGGGGCAGCCTCAATTTTGTGGGTCCTGATATATGGATTAACTATCCGTATCCATAGGAACCATTTAAAACCAGTGCTATTTTCCTTGGACATTAGACAATAAACTCTTGGGTGAGAGAAAGTGTAGCAGGCGTAACTGAATCATTCAGTAATTGGCACTTGGTGTTTAAGTAAGGGAAGTCATGCTATATGGTGGGCAGTTATCTACAGATTTCAGGAAGGAGAGAATACATCGCTTCCTTTTGTATTTTGCATAACGGAAAACATGTGTTAATTATCCTTTCTAATCCTTTTCCCCTGCTGAGTTCTGAGGAGGGTTTGGGCAGTGGTAGGGAAAGAAGTGACTTATATGACTTCAGGGATGAAAGGAAAATCTCTATTTCCCACCATTATTAGCATAGATAGCTAAATATTAATAAAGTAAGGGAGCTAAGGGAATCAAATTATTAAGCATAATAAACAAAGGAGCTGATTGAACACTGAGCCTGCCTCACTAGGAAGCTGCAGGATTCATAGGCTCCCCAGGGTACTGCTTCATTGGGCCTAATTCATGAAGCAGGAAGGAAGGAAGGGTTGTTACTGGTCGTTAGCCAGGATTACTAAGGGGAAGATAAATAGCAGGAGAAATTCCTCTGCTGGGCTCAAGTCCAGCAGAAGCCAAGATGGTACAAGTGGAGGTGCTTCTACTATGAGGCATGTGCAGCAGGAGCCAAGATGGAGACCCAAACCTGTCTAGCCTGGGAAAGAATTGGATTGGATAAGGTACACAGAACCCTAGATAATCTAGGAAATGGATTGGTTAGGGGAAGGATCCAACACAAACCCACAAAGGCATGGGAAACTGGCTTGTTTGAAAAAGCACCTAGTCCTTCCCAAGCCCAAGATAATATAATCAACCTAATAAAAGGTGCCTCTCTCTCTCTCCCTCTCCTTTCCCTCCCCTTCCTTCCCTTCTCCTTCCTTCCTCTCCTCTTCTCTCCTTTCCCCTCCCCTCCCCCCTCTCTCTGTAAAGCATATTCACTCCTTTTGTTCACACATTCTCTCCTTAGCAGCTATGTGGGCCAAGCAGCCACCTGGGGCCTGGGTTCCAAGCATGGGCCTGGGCACAGCACCAGCTGGAGTGTAGCCAGAAACACTGGATTGAACCAATGACATAGGATTTATGGGCATTGGCCTTTCTTCTGGGCTTGATAAAGACAAGTCTGGACTTCTCTCACAGTGGGACAGAGATGAGACCCTGTGAACCTACGGGCAGTCTTTGAATTTTGCTTCTACCATAAACCTTACCACTAAACCTCATCCTCCCATGTGGGTCCCCGGAAATGCTTTTCTCACAACACAGCAAGGACCTCATTTCTAATGGCAACACCATTACCCCCAATTCCATCTCCAAATACCTCCTTTCTCCATCCTGCTCAGTAATGCCTAAAGTATCTAATTAGAGAGCTTCATGCTTTTTGCTTAAAAACTGTACTTTGTTAAAAAGCAAAAATCTCTGGAAGAGTTCACCTCATTAATTTTGCATTACTAATTACTTACACTAACAGTGAGTTCATCAAATCCTTTCTTAAGAAGGAGAGATAGAAAAAGGAGCATGGAGCCCAGAGCCTGGAAGAAGGAGGGAAAGTTAGAAGATACAGAGAGATTTGACCTATTTTACAACTGTTCCTAGTGCCGTTTTATTTGCCAAGGCTGATGTCTGGAGATTCTCCCTTTGCCCAATCCCTTTTTCACTTACATGACAGTTTAATCTTTTTCAATGAGAGAAAAAACAATTTCTTATAAAATATGTACCTCAGTCTAAGGAGGAAAAGCAACACTCAAATTTTAAAAAGGGAAAATCTTAAATAATAAAGACAGCTCTGGGCCAGGTGGCCCAGCTGGTTGGAGCACCATCCTGTGCACCAAAAGGATGCAGGTTCAATCCACCATCAGGAGACATATGTAAGTTGCAGGTTCAATCCCTAGTTGAGGCATGTACGGGAGGCAACTGATCAATGTTTCTTTACATCGATGTCTTTCCCTCCTTTCTTCCCACCCTCCTTCTCCCTCTCTCTCTAAAATAAACAAAACAAAAATACATCCTTGGGTGAGGATTAAAAAAATAATAAAATAGCCCTGGCCAGGTTGCTCAGTTGGTTGGAGTGTCATCCCATGCACCAAAAGGTTGCTGGTTCAATCCCAGGTCAGGGCACATGCCTAGGCTGCAGGTTCATTCCCTGGTCAGGGCTCATATGGGAGGCAACCAATTAACATTTCTTACACATCGATGTTTCCCTTCCTCTCTCTCTAAAATCAATAAACATATCCTTGGGTGAGGATTTAAATAAATAAATAAAATAAAATAATAAAGACAGCTGGGCCAGTAATAGATAATGAATAATACATTTTAATATTACATAATAAAAATGAAGCCAAAATAATATTTGATTATATTAAACTTTTATTTCAACGTAGTATAGCAAAATTAAACATCCAGAAATTTTTGTTTCATATATTTTAAAAATTCCATAAAAACATAAATCTAACTCTGAGGACTACCTTGTATAAATATAATGGAGATAATATGGAATAAATAGACTTGTTAATATAATTACTATTAAGTACTTCTTCAGCCCTTCCCAAGCTACTAAGGCACTTCAGTAAAGAGCAACCCTCTGTCTCTTAATGGATGTTTCTCTCTGCAAATTTTAACACAGTTAATCATAAATGAAATAGAATAAGCACTGTTGTGCTTGTACTTACTGTTGATGGTGTTACTCAGAAAATAAAAATATGCCTGGAGGAAAAGGGACTCCAGAGTAAATACAAGTAGAGAAAAAGGATTCATTCAACCTCTTACATGTCACTGGAGATTTAAACTGCATCCTAAACCTAGAGGTCTATTTTTCTGCTGTGAGAGACAGCTAGTTCATGAGATCAAACAAAGGATTCAAAAACAGTCCTCAAGAATAATCAACACTTTTTGCTCTAACTCAGCTTTCCTTAGCGTGGGATGTGCATTCTATCCTATTAAAAAATAAATGAGGTACACTAACTTTTAGGTAAGAAGGGTTCAAGCTTTGGATTTATTATTTGAGATTAAATAATACTTGATAACATTATTTGAGTATGAGTTTGCGGCATGAGTCCAGCAACTAAGATTAATTGTAGACTAAATCTACATTTATTCACATTAGAGGGAAAGACCAGATTGGAGAGGAGCAGAGCAGACGAGTCCAGGATGTGGGCTTCAGGGCCAGAGTGCTTGAGTTTACCATTTACTAGTTGTGTGACCTTGGGCAAGGTCCCTTCACGTTCTGTTCCTCAGCTTCCCCAACTGCAAAAAGAAGATAATACATTGAGTGGTTATGAGGCTTAAAAGAGCTAATCATATAGTATATTTAGAGTCTGGCTCACTGTCAATATTCAACAAGACTTAGTCATTTTTATTGGATATACCACAAAATGGATAGTGGCGTTGGGTGCATGCTATGAGACCCAAGGAGGAAGCAGCATGGGATACATGTAAGCCAACTGGGCTTGCTGTACTGAGGTTTAGCGTCCAGTGGTCACCCTCATGGTGGCTCTGCTTGAGGGTGAAGATTTAGTTCATCTGGCTGTGGGACCAGCATTTTAGCTCAAACTCCTGACTGCTAGTCTCAAACATGAAGACCCTTCTTGGGCAGGGATCCTCTTGAAGCCATGCTTGGCATGTTGTCACATACCTCAAAACATCTAACTCACCATGAATCATGGAGAAATCTGTCCCTAACAACGTCTTGGCAGAGGGATGGGGGTGAAAGGTGGGGAGATAGGGTGGTAAGGATTCATATTGCTCACTTTGCAACAAAAACTTAGTGCAATTCACCATTGGATGTGTCTTCTTCATTGGGTAGTTGCCTCATTTCTTTTCTCCTTTCCCATGCTACGAGGCCCCTTCATTGCCCTAAATAGTTCAGTTCTGGCCCTTTGCTTACATTCCTCAACCAAATAAGAGCCTGAGAATTAGATCAATAGTGACCATTTCTACATGCAGCTTATTAAAATATTGGTAAGTACAGATTAACCTCTTTTACAGAAAATTTCTGCTTGTAAGAAAATGTTCTCCATCTATGCTTAAAGCAGAGTAGGTACAGAACAAATAATAGGATCCAACAGCAGTTGAAGGGAAAGTAATCAGAAAAATGAAAAAGGGGAAGTAAGGAGTGGAAACCTCACATATACTGGGATAAATTTAGCATTACACCACTTCGGAAGTTTTTTTCTTGCTTGAAGGTTTTTAAAAGAAAGGGGAAGGAAGAAAGAAGGCCCTAAGAAATTTTATAAAAATAGATAATTAATACCAAACTATAAGAACTGGTTACTTTCTTCTTAGACTATTGCCAAGTAGCCTAGGCTTTTACAAAAGAGCCAATAATAAAAACATTGCAACATTAACATTTATTTAGAATCTCTTTTGAAGCTGTCCTACACGTTTATCAAACTGAAACTTTGTGGGATCTCTGGCATGCCTCAAACACTCAGTACATTTTCACTCTACCTGCTAACTTTAACCAAGAGCTGTTCTCCCTTATGTATTCTAATTCCTTAAAGATTTTGACGGCAAAAAGAGGTAATTAAATGGGTGTAGGTAGCTTCATGTTGGCATTGCTTTAAGTCTGCAAAAAAAAAAGGAGCACTAGTTGCTTCTGTAGTTTCTGAAGGATAAATTTTTACCTGATGTTGCTTGCCTTGCATTTCTAGGTAGAAAGACAACCCATGAGCTTCCTCAACCTGCCAACTGTTTGCTCAGGACCTGGTTCAGCCGCCACCTTCTGGATTTGGAACAAGGCCTGGGAGGCGATGATGTGCAGAGATGGCTCAGGGTCATGCAGCAGATGTCTCAGATCTAAATGGCAAGAAAACCCAGGTAGGAGGTAAAGACTGATGGACATGGTCACTGGTCCAGGTACCAAAGAGCCAACATGCCTACAGCATGCCTAACGTTTTGCAAGCCTCTGCCTAAAAGTTTGTAGGTCAACTCCAGTTTTGACCTACAAAACTTATTTCTTAAGTTGTCAAATATTTTACTCTGTATAGTAATCAGACTGCCTAGTAGTCTACATATAGGCAGATGATCTGGACCTGTTAAGTTTTGACTAATATTGTTAATTTCTAAGTTCCTGTGTTGGTCCTAGAGGTTACTCTTAAATCTTTATTCCCTTTTTTCTACAATATTTTTCACAACATATGATTCTACACTATGTATATGATATAGTTTCCTTGTTTCTAATCTTGGATGTTTCCCATTTTTGCAATGTATTCTATTTTTTTTTTTTTTGAGAGAGAGAGGAAGGAAGGGAGAAACATAAATTTTTTTTGTTCCACTTGTTTATGCATTCATTGGTTAATTTTTCTAAAGATTTTATTTATTTATTTATTTATTTATTTAGAGAGAGGCGAAGGGAGGGAGAAAGAAAGGGAGAGACACATCAATGTGTGAGAGATACATGGTTGCCTCTCACATACCCCCAACCAGGGACCTGGCCCACAACCCAAGCATGTGTCCTAACTAGGAACTGAACTGGTGTCCCTTTGGTTTGTGCACTGGCACTCAATCCACTGAGCCACACCATCCAGGGCTCATTGGTTAATTTGTGTATGTGTCCTGACCAGGGATGTGTCCTAACCTGCAACCTTAGTGTATCAGAACAATATCTAATAGAACTACCTGGCCAGGGCTCCATTTTTGCACTGTAAATAATACTGAAGTGAACATTCCTGTAAATATTTCTGCTTATTTTCATGAATTGGATTCCTAGAAGTGGTATTTATAAGTCAAAGTATATGTTTATTTAAAGGGTTTTGATACATATTACCAAATTTCCCTGTAAAAAAGTTGTATCTATTTATGCTCATATCAGCACATTGTATGATTATGTCAGTTTTGTCCTGATACACCAATGTTGAGTATTAATTAATAATCTTTGCCATTTTGACAGAAAAACACATATTGGTATCTCATCATTTTGTTTTGCAAACTTTTGATTACTAGTAATATTGAATATTTTTAATATATTTATCGGTCATTTGTCTTCTATGAGTTGCTTATTCATATTGATTGCCACTTTTCTTTTAAGAAAGTATGGATTTGTTTTAAGGCTATTAACCATTTATCATATGGCAAATATATCCCCCCCCCATATTATTGCTTATTTCTGCTTATTTTTCAATTTAGTCTGTTACTTTTTGTTTCAAAGTTGGTTTGTAAATTTTTTACATAGACAAATCAACTATTCTTTGACTTCATGGATCTGTGTTTGCATCATATTAGAAAAGGCTCTCAATTTCTAATTCTCTAAGGTTTCAAAAATGCTTAGGAACTCTTAATAGTTAGGAGCTTTATATTTTTTAAGTAGCATGTTAGTGTTTAAACTCATCATGTTTATTTCCAAGATGGAATATGTGACGAGTTTTTAGTTTCTTTTGGTTCCTACAGTAAAATCTGTCTCTACATGTTCTACAGAATCCATAAGGGAGCACTCATCAATTTTGGAATCTAAAGGGATTCAAATTTATTTTGTCATGAAATTAACTTAAATTGAATTTTACCTATTGATATTTTTGTTTAAATTTGCTTGAAATTTCCTGTGGTAAAGAACATAAATATCTTCAAAAACAGAAGGCAGAGACAAATGTATTTGAGAACATAAATTAATTAATTAAAAAAAAAAAAGGAGTGCTAGGGTGAGCCATGGTCAGGTAGCTCAGTTGGTTAGAACATTATTCCTGATACCCCAAGGTTGTGGATTCGATCCCAGGTCAGGGCACATATAAGAAACCACCAATGAATGCATAACCAAGTGGAACAACAAATTTGATATTTCTCTCTCTCTCCCTCCCTCTCTCTCTAAAATCAGTAAATATTTAAAAAAATAAAAAAAGGAGTGCTAGGGTGCTCTACCCTATTTCTAAAACAGATTAGCTACTGTTAGGGAGGGAATAGTGTAGAATTATTTCATTGGGTTGAACCATATAAGATTGCTGATATTTGACTGTTTTGCCCTACAAAATGGCAATTTTCTATGATCCATCCTAATATATGCATATAATTTATATACATACTCTAAATTTTCTATATAGAAGAGGAACTTCGATTCCCCTTTTAGATTAGAAAATAATTAGCTATTTATTTATTTTACTTTTTTATTGAATTTCTTGGGGCAACATTGGTGAAAATAATTTATTTTTAATTAAATAGAATCAACCATGTAGAATCTTTCCTCATAGAATAAAATAATCTACAGGACCTTCCTTTTTTTTTTTTTTTTTTTTTTGCTTCTGGTATCTGTGGGGAAGTAGGAGACCTTGGAGAAAAGTGGCATGATCATTCCTAAATAAGCTTTAGCTTCTGGCTATTCTACCAGTTATATAGTTTTATTTTGAAAGTAGTGAATTATTCAGGATTTTAATTTGGTCCTCAAAGTACTTGCTTTTTGGTTGTAAGACTTTGCATTTCATGGCATTTTTTTAATTGTAGGACTGCTTCTTAAGTGGGAATAAATAATTCTTTGAGTGTTAAATCCTCAAAGCTGTATCGTTATAAAAAGCTTTCACTCACTGACAATTCAGAAAACCATCTGCATGATGCCTGCCTTATATGACTATAAAACATCCTTATTATCAAGTCCTACCACCTTACAGGACAACCACTTATAGAAAATAGTGCTGCACTCATCAGTGTGGTCCTTGTGAGTGTCATCATAATTTACCAAGATAGTATTTCTAGGTAATGTCTTATTTCCCAACATAGTTTTGGAACTGTCCCTGAGGCAATTCATCAAAGCTTGTTTCCAGACAAATAGGGTCATGTTTTTTACTAAAGAGGGAAATTAGACTGGGATGAGCTTGTCATTCAGCTGAAGTCCCCAAGAGCTTCCGCTTACTGCAAAAGTCAGGCTTTCTGATTCTCAGGGTCTCACTCTGCCGCAGGGCCTGCCCACAGTCACTGCCTCAGATACTATCTAACATATGGGCCACGCCAAACCCAAGTGAGTTATCACTTACCATCCTCTATCCACTTAGTACCCTTCATCCGAAGTTCACTGCGATCCAGGTATTTTGAAAAGAGACCTAAATGCAGAATAAAGTCAGTGAGTCTGTGATCTGGTTTTGGCTCTAAGCAGCTGGCAGAACTGGCCTTTGATAATTAGATTGTAAAAACTGGATTTAGAAGTCCTTGATAATTACCTATAGAAAACATAGCCCCTTTCTCCAAAGAAGTATTTCCAAGGCCATCTTCACAAAGAATGGGGATATTCAACAGCATATATTGGGAAAGTTTGGGATAGAAGTGACTGTAGAAATAAAAGGATTTTCTTTGTACCTACAAACAAGACTGTTGCTCTTCTGATAGGAAGTTTTGGACTCTTGGAGAACATCAATGTTTGGGCTAGGATGTTAACTTTCCCCTTGCATTTTTTTCCCTAAGTGGGGAAAAAAGAAAGAGTATAAAGGAGTGAAGTAGTATCACTATTTTTATCAGCCTCACTGTAGTTTCCAGAGTCAAGAACTAGGTTAGATACACATATATACAGTACAGTGCTTGAAATAACTACAGTTGTTCAATGAATATTATGCCACAACAATCCCCTAGACAAAGTTAAATCCTCTGAATGCACCTTGCTCACACCCACTCATGCTGCATATTGTGCCTGTAGTGCCTCTAAATCCATCTTCATTTCTCTGTATCTAAGTCTTCTCTGTTCTCTAAGTTCCACCTTGAGTTCTGCCTCCCTGTGAGCTCTTCCCTGACAGCTCCAGCCTTCCTGATCTAACCCTGCTCTTAGTATTTTGCTGGTACTCCTCTCTTGGCACATGTTTCCCACCTTGAGTTTCTATTTAATATTCCACAGAGGTTTTATCTCCCTTACTAGCTTGCAGGCTCCCCTAGGAAGTTTTAATCCTTGGCATGTGTCTAGGTTCCCCACGGCCTGTTGCACATGGGATGTGTTATGCTTACTGGATGAGGGAGCTTACCTCTCAGTGGATCTCTTACAAGGACAGGTACTTCAGGAATAGGAGGAGGAGAACAGAAATTTGTTCTCATAGGACTTAGGATTCACCATGGGTAATCTGCAGTCTTATCCACTGAGAACACTGAATTTCCTGCTCTGAATACTGTCATCAGTGCATCGGTTATAAGTTTGGTTGCATGTCAGTGAGATAATCCCCAGTGGAAAGTCTGACATAAGGGTACTATGGGCTTCTTAGCCCTGTAAGTCTGATTAGAGGAGCCCATTCTGAGACCTAAAGAGGCTACACATATGGAAGGTCCCTGGGAACAATACTCAGTCTTAGGGCCTTCATTAGGATCCCAGTGGTTCTAGAGTTAATTGTCTAGAAAAAAAGTGGATGGGCCTCCGGAGTTGTTCTGGCTCAAGCATACCCCTAAGATTGGCCCATGGTATCCTTTGTCCAGTTTGTGAGGAGAAAGGATGTCTACAGGGACCTGTAGAGCCAGTGGCATGCTGTCATCATGCTGAATGGCCTATGACAGCATGGCAGCCCTTGCTTGGGGCTCCCTGAACATGCTCTGATGGAGGGTAATACAATTTACTATATACAAGGAAAGGATTAGAAATCATTGTAAAGGAAAAACATGGCTTCATTTTAGTTCACTCCACAAGTAGTTATTTGAGTATGTACTATGAGCTTAACCCTGTAGACTTACCCAGAATTGGGGGGATTCTAAGAATTCACCAGTCTTTTCCATGAGGAAGGGTGGTAATATAAAGTGTATCTGTGACTCCATTGGGAGGAAACTATAGATTCACAGTACAAAACAGTTCACAGATATCAACTTCTGATTAAAAACTACATCTGAAAAAATGTCGGCATATTAAAGGGTTAACAAAACCATTATTTCTCACATACCAAGAATTTGCAGATTGTTTCAACTTCACTAGGGTTGATGTACCAGGGATCTTTGCAGTACACTTCTTGGGGCAGCTTCCACTTCAGAAACTGGGCACATATAGTTAGGACTCGCCTGCTCTCCTGTGAAAACAATGTTCAGAGATCAGTATTTTCAAATATTTTAAGATGAGGTAATCTTTCTTCAAATAAAACTGACACTAAAGTCCAACGTGAAAAGCTGATAAGCTCAGAATTATCTTGGCTGAAGTGAGGAGAGGGGTGGAAAGAACCAGAGTCCTGTCCTCCCTTAACTTCCTCTTAGTCCTTAAAGGGAATCCATAGAATCTGCAGGGTTCTTGGGAGGATGTACAAACCACTGGTCTAGGGCAGAGTGAGAGCTCTCAGATGTAACACCCAGACCAGGGATTTGGGCAGGAGTTTCCACTATCCCATGCTCTACAGATAGGGCTCCTATGCCCACTTGCTGTTCCTGTGTCATTTTTCTGTCAGTCTACCCAGGAAAGTGTAGTTCCTCATTGTCCATGTGGGATCTCTGGAGAGTACTGATCCATTCCTGATTCAGATACTTGAGCAAAATTTAGTGAGTGGGCCTCCCCTCTGTGCGCCGCTCTCAGAATGCCTCCCAACAAACACCTCTGATGACTCCAAGCATTTTGTCCCAGGTCCACTAGATACGTGGGCCACTGAAATTCCATTGGGGACTGATGGAAATACAAATTAGTTCAGCTACTTTGTTTAGTAATTTATAAATATCTAGTAAAGTTAAAGATACCTAGATATTCTGCCTCTGGTTTTACGCCCTCAAGAAACTCCCATATGTATACACAAAGAAATATATAGAAGAATGCTCATTTGCAGCAATGTAATAATAAAAAATTAAAAATCTAAATATCTAGGAATAGGAAAATGGGATAAGTTGTAAGATAGTCACATGATAAAATTCTATGTAGCAGTGAAAATAAAGGAAGTGCGGCTATACAACAGATAAATCTTACAAGAATAATGTTAAACAAAAAGGTTGCTGAAAGATATAGAAATGATACAACATACAAAGTTTTCTTATATATGAGGTTTTAAAACATGAAAAATATTATCACAGAAATTATAAAATAAAATCCAGGATGCCAGTCTTAGGAGAATTCAGTTGGGAATAAGTGCTTGATTAATTTTTCAGCATGAGTGGTAGATATATGGATGTTCATTATCTTCTCTGTATCAGTGATTCGTAAGCTGTTTAATGTTAGATCCTTCCTCTCTGCTTAGGCCAACGCACAGAGGAGCCCTGAAAAGGTGACTAGAGGTTGTTCATGGTTTGAAGAAAAATAAGCCCAGAGGGTCCACTGCTCTAGGCCTTCGCTGATTGCCAAAGGCTGGGTGAGGTGGGGGTGGATGAGTATCAATACCTCCATAGCTCTGTAACCCCTACATGGCAGACTTTCCCATCACTTGGTTGGGAAACTCTGCTTTATACTTTTTGGGGGTCTGACATATTTCACATTTATGGCTATGAGGTCATAAAACTTCCTCTTTAACAAGATGCCAAGGTCTACTGTCATCTTAAATCCTGTTTCTGAACCTGCTTTCAATTCTGTAAGGAGCATAGGTAGGTGAGAGCTCCAGCATTTTTCCAGAATCCTTGGAGTCTAAACCTACTCCTCTAATTTGCTGTAACTGGTGGTTATAGTTAGCACCTTGGGATGGACTTGGGAGATGTGGGACAGTAAGTGCTAATAATGACGACATCCCATTCACAACTCTTATGGCAGAATCTCTAAGATTAAGGAGAGGTAAAGGCTCTCCAGATTGTCAGAGCAGCTACTATTTCTTACTTAGCCACAATAAAAGTCCTTCTGTCACAAGGCTAAGCAGCAGTTCTTAGACAAAAGAAGAAAAAGAATATTATCATTGTCATCAATAAAAATAATTAGTTGAATTGGGCACTGTACCTAGGGCTCTGTACTAGGTCGAATGTTGGGGCTGTTCTACAAAAAGATGTAATACATTTTTTCTTACCCACAAAGGGCCATGATTTGCTACAGAGAAATAGTAATATTTTTTGCGCAATTCACTTAGTCAAGGTAATTAAAAGGTAGCCTTATACCAGAGGAAATGGGAAATAAAGATGGTACCACAAAGTCCCTACCTTCAAAGATATGAACTCTTATTTGCAGATTTTGCTCTGGGTTTGAGGTAAAATCCAGAAAGAAGTTGACAGTAGGCATTACCTCAGCTACTGCATCATTTTCATCCTGAGAGTACAGAAGTAGTGGGACCAAGCTGTCCAGGACTTGGTTCTCTACACCTTTCTTATCTGTATTTTTCACAGACTTTATGGAGGCTCCAAAGAGGGTCATGGAGAAACAATGAACATCAGGTCTCACCTATTAAGGAAATATCCAAAGAGAAGCAACTCACTGAAAAGTGTTCATGCTTAACTTGTAAGAGCCCTAGGTTAGTTGAAATGCCAATCCTAACATGAGGCTATTTAGCTGTAGGTGGCTGAGGGCAAGAAACCAAATGTGTGTGGAAAGAGCAAGGCCTGATGCTTTGTACTACTTGTTACATGTAGTTTGTTGTACATGTAATTCATTATGTGTCATGCATATTAAAAAAAATCTTAGTGATTTAGGATGGGAACATATATATAGTCTACCACCTTGACCCAGTCCTGAATGTTACTTGAAAGGAAAGATAATGTTTCCTTATAGAGCTCTTTCCCCGTCCCATGAAGGAAGGGAGTACCTTGTCAAGTCTCTATGTCTTAGGGTTGTTTTTTTTTAATTTGAAAAATAGTAACACCAACCCTACCAACATTATGGGTCACCCGAAAGGGCCCAAGGAGAGGAGATTTTAAAGTGCTCTGAAATAAAAGTACTATACGAAACAGAGTGTTTATTATTATCCCAACTTCTATTCGCTGTTATGCCAATTACCCTCCCCCTCGGAAAGTCTCTCTGTTCTCATTATCTTACATCGCCAAAAAAGGAGAACAGCGCCCTCATCATGGCCGTCAGGGTAGAGAAATCCATTGTCCTAACAACCTGCAGGAGTATCTGGATGGCCAACAAAACAATCTTCTCGTCGGTTTCACATAACAGGTCTAAGATGCAGGGCATCAGGCTCTTGATATCTTCACTCTGTGTGCCCAAAGGGAACAAGCACATCACCACCTCTCCTGATTGCTCTTCATCCGATACCAAACAAAGTAGGGCACCTTTACTCAGTATCCAGTGCTTACAGAATTTTTTGTACTACAAGCTGGTCACCAACAGAGTAAAGAAGGCATGACTGCCCTCTCTCAGTACTAGCAGGACTGACATGCAGAGAAGGGAGCAGAGTTGTGAGTTGCCTCACAGGGCAGAAGTGGGACCAGGTGAGTGTCCAGTGATATGGAGTTGGGCCTAATGTGAGGAACTGCTCACCTAACAAAAAGAAAGTGGAATGGCTAGCTCAGGTCACAGAAAGTTTGCCAGTATGGAAGGTATTCAAACAGAGGCTAAAAGATTCCTTGGAGGAATCCACTGGGATTCCGCTCTTCTGAAACCCCCCAAATGGAGCAGTCTCAGGGTTTTAATGTTTAAAACATGCATGTAAAAATTAAATAGAATAAGCCACAAATATTCATATATCCAACCAACCAGAGTTTGTTTCAGATACATACAGGGGTGGGCAAAATGGAAAAAAACATGCAGGTTATGATTATTACAATAGCTTTATTAACCCTGTTTCCCATACTTAACAACTGCAAACAATACAGGGGTTTTGCCCACCCCTGTATTTGCAGTAAAAGAAACAGAACTGAAGTAATAAAATAGAAGGGTTAATTTTCTCTTCTGACCTTCTTAGTGTCTAGTTAGGCCCATGGAAGATGAGCTTTCAACATGAATGTCAGTGACTCTTAGATGATAAGGCAACTTGGTACAAGGCATGAAAAGGCACATGAATGTTGTGCAGGTTGTGATGATAATCAAACTGCAGGTTTCAAATATTATGACTATCTGTGAATAGACCTTTTTATTTTTTTAAATCTCATTAAGTGTCTACACTTGCGTATTTCCTAGGTATAGATTTCAAACGGTACAAAAGTATGCACTCCCGCCCTCTCATGCGCCCAGCTACACAATTTTCCTCCTCAGTTATTACTAATTTCTTGTGTATCTTTCTGGGGTATGTTTTATTTGTGGCTTATGAGTCAGTGGTCTGGGGCCCCCTCCTACCATCTCCCGGTGTCTGATAAGATAGCACAGTCCCCTGAGGGCAAGAATTTTAAAGACATTATCTCCATGATATAGCCAGTCTTTCAAGCGGTCCACAGAGTATATGCTGGGCAGTCTCCTAGCCACTGGACTCTGGAGAAGCTGAAAGAATCCAGAAATCGGTCAAAGAAGTTAACTTTAAGCCCTTTTTCATGAAAGGAGCCACCTTCCCACCAACTCCAAAATACTAACCCTTTAAAACCTGTACTATACAGCATATACATTACAAGGTGATGGTTACACTGTAGGCAAGTAAGGAATGCTGAATAACGAATTATGTGGAAAGAAGAATTTCAGTAGGCTTGAATCTGAAACTACTTCTATCCCAAGTTTGAAACGGATCGCAGCCTGCCACTAAGTTGAATAGGGCCTAGGAAGGCAGGCCCCGCTGCTTCATAGGCTTCCTGAATCCAGCTTCTAAGTAAGGAGTCTTACCTCCACAAAAAAACCTGCAGATGTGAGTTTATGTTTATCATTCCCTCGGTTAAGAAGAGGGACTAACAAGTACAAGATCTTATGTGCAAGGACGTGATTTCTTTCCAGCAATGCACTGAAAAACAGAATAAAAAGAGAACAACTCTTAGAAATATTCCTGTAAGTAGAGAGCATTTTTCCCATGGCTGGGGGCCCTCCAAAGTGTTTGCCCAGCTTTGGGTGCACAGGAGGGTATGGCAGGGCCAGGACCTCTGATAATTTTGCCCAGCTTGTGATGAGGTTATTCAACCTTGGTTGCTGTGGTAACTAAAAGGGGGGAAAATACCTTAAAACAAGGCTGCTTTAGAGCAGGTATGCATGTCAAAGCAGCCTTACTTGGCTAGGAGAGACACTCCCTGAAGATGGCAATCTTTTCTTGCCAGGAGGGTCCATCCTTTATTCTTTTCCATGATGTGGAATTCCTGCAAGCACCATGTTCTGAGGAGGAGAGTCTTTGTAGCCTGTATGGCAAAGCTAAATCAGACAAAAACAGAGCAGGTGAATAGAACAGGTCCTTACAACTCCACCAGCATACAATGACCCTGTTCTCACTGAGGAGGGCCATGCATGGATAGCTGCTAGACTGTAATTCTCTTCTTTCTAGATTTCCCAAAAGCCTCTGAATGCTCTAATAACTGAAAGACCCCTCACTCAAATTATAGGCAGAAAGAAACCTGACTAGATTTTGTTTCCTTGAGATTCGGGAAGAAATCTATGTTAAAACAAATGATATGGGATGCTAAACTGATACCCACTGCTTTTTTGTAAAGGTTTATTTAGACACTACTTATTTATAACCCATAAAATTTACCTCCACTACTTTTTAAAACTACTTATTGAACTAGTATCTTGGATATGAGAGAATCTGAAAGCTGGAAGGATCCTGGGAGAGTACCTAGCCTGACCTCACTTACAGATGAGGAAATTGAGGCACAGGACCACAGAAGAATTTGCCCACAGTACACAGCTAGTTAAATGAATTAGAACTCAGTTTTTCCGACTCTTAGTCAGGTGTTCTCAAACATTTCCTGTCAGAGCACTTCCTTTGAAAGAAATCCATGTGCCACAGAAACACTAAGAAATATCTACTGATAGCCTAATGGGTAACTAAAAACACCTCTGTGCAATAAAGCAGAAATGGGAAATTGTTCAATTGTGGATCTGAATGGTTTTGGAGGTCGGTTTAAGGCTGTTTTGCTAGTCTCTGTCTCCGTTTGATTTTTCAAAAAAGACTGGAATAATATCAGATATCATTTTGCAGAGCAACTGGACCCAGATAGCCTAATTTACCTTGGCACCAATAAAACCAAGGACAACCAATGGGAACCAGAATAATTCTTGGACGTTTCATCTTGACATCTCATGAGGGTAGCAGACTGTAAGCTCTCCCACGATTGGGACCACATCGTGGCCATCCTTGTGTTCACTACACTGCTTGGTGCTTAGTAAGTGTTACTTAAGGTCAGTAAAATCACAACGGGCAGTAGTACCACAAAGGGGTGACCTTTGAAGGCATTTCCTGTTCAGCATACAGGCCAGCTGGGATGGTGACATCAGACATGGTGAGGCCGATGCTGTGGTGAATCTGGATGAGCAGTGTCATGAGAAGCTGAGGAAAGAGTTGGAATGTAGCTTCTGGGAGCTTGTTTCCCATAAACACCTCATAAAGGGCCTCTGTTGCCTGTGGTAGAAAAGGCACACAGCAGAGGTGAATGTGCTGGCCTTAATCCTTGCTATTGCTTTACTTCTGCTTGTGCCAGAGCATGCTTTCTGGTTCTACTATCCCAAAAGTGGAACAGTAGTGGTACTCAGTGAAGGGAAGTGAAAGTGAGGGGAAAAGGAATAGAAGTAAAGTGGTCATTAAAAGTTACCAAAGAGTGAGGGGGAGTCCTGAAATCCAGAAATAAACTATAAAGGAAACTATTAACATATTTGACCACATACAAATAAAAAGCTGGGAAAAATTTATCATAAACAAAGTTAGAACACAAATAGCCTGGGAAAGTATTTGCATCAATGTGATATTCTTAATATATAAAATTCTCTCACATATCAGTAAGAAAAAATGTTAAGGCTTGCTACTCAAAATGTGGGCCACGCACCAGTAGCACTGGCATCAACCTGGGAGCTGGTTAGAAAAGGAGAATTGAAAGCCCTGCCCCAGACCTTTTGCATCAGAATCTGCATTTCAATCAGATCTCTAGATGACTGGGGTTTGTGTGCATATTAAAACTGTGATGCACTGGAATACAGGACATGAGCAGACAGGACACAAAAGAAGAATTATAAATAGCCAATTAAAAAACATACAAATGTTCCACCTCACCAATAATGAAATTATAACTAAAACATGTCCTTTTTCACCTATTCTCCAGGCAACAATGAAAAGGCTAGTAATGCCCCATGCGGTGAGTGTGGGTAAATGGGCACTCTCATACATGACTGGTAGAACGGCAACATTCTAGAGGACCATCTGGGAACATCATCAAAATTTTCAGTAAGCCCACCTTTTGACCTAGAAATCCCCCTTCAATGCACTTTATCTTAAGAAAATAATTGGGTATATACAGTGTAACAAAATTTATGTGTGTATAATTAAGTTTGCTACAGCACTGTTTTAATGGCAAAAGTTTGAAAATTGTCAGAATGTTCACTAATATGAAACATGATAATAAAATAAATGGTTTTGTACCCTGTATTACCTATTTTTAAAAAGTTAATTAAAAATAAATTACTATGCAGTCATGAAAAGGATAATAGAGAGCCTCAAGTATTGATATGGAAAGTAGCTCATATATTGTTAAATAAAAAACAACAGGTCATCACATGATACATGTGTTATGATCCTATATATATGTATATACAAAAACTCTATAGACTAATATAATGAAATAGCTTTGGGTGCCCTAAGTCCTAAAACTGTACTAAAATGACATTACAGGTATTTTTAAAAAGGCATAAATCTGTAAGAACCATAAGAGAAGAGGAGAACAATAGTAGAAAGTGTGATGATATGATAAGTTAGGCCAGGGAAAGCTGAACCATAAATGGTAGGCAAGAAATGAAAGTAAAAAGTACATGTGGATACTGAGGGAAGCTGTGCATGTGGGGGGCAGGGAGTACGTTGGAATGCTGTACTTTCTGCTCAATTTTGTTGTGAACCTAAAACTGCCGAAAAAAAAATAAAGTCTATTTAAAAGGAAAAAAGAGGGAAAAACATACTGAACACATATACAGAAGTTCATATTTGTATAAACACTTCTAAAAAGTTCTCTTTTAGGGAGACAATATATAGCCGTTATTTAAATATTTACCATCTGGTCCTTTACAGAAAAGATTGGCAGACCTCTGCTTAAGGACGACCTTTACTTCCTACTTTATATTATGTATTACTTGAAAAATTTTTTTCACAAGTTTGTATTACTTTTAACCACGATGATATATATTTTTTCAAGGATAAGGGAAGGAATGTTTAAAATACATTAAACCATACTGATTCCTTCACTCTCCCTAGCCCCTCCATGTCAATCCACTGGTAGAGACATGTAGATTTATGAATGGGTGACAGAAACAAACTTTGAGAGGAACCAAAAGGAACACTCTCCGGAAAGGGTGTTGGGCCGGTCATCCCAAAGGGGAGCACGGCAGGCTGAGGCTGGAGGGACAGAGCTCAATGGCTTACAGATACAGCTACATAGGCCATCTTCTCCTGGGTGGGCACATCATGGCATTTCTGCAGCTTCCTCAGGAGCCTCAACAGAATCCAGGTAGTGCTGGGTGGCTCCACCTTCAGAGTTCTCCACATCTCAGCCAGGTCCCTGGAAATCCCAGAGTAAGTAGCTTCAGAAGAACGGCTTCTCTAAGGCCTATCATGACTACAACGTTTTTAGAATGTTTGGAATACAATCTATATGAGGTTTCCTGTTGTTTAGTTCTTCAGGGTAGCAAAAACAAAACCAAACCTCTACTATCTGATTTTGTAAGAGTCACTCCCAAGGTCTTATAGACTGAAGTCCCTATTGCCTCAGCATGGACTTCAAGACCATTCTCAAACTGGCCCTAACTTACCTTTTCAGTCTCATAACCTCCCTATCACATACTTAGTGCTCTAGCTGCCCTAAACCACTCACCTTTAACAAATAAACAATGAACTCTGAAAACCCTATACCTTTGCTTATGTTATTTCCTAAAACTGAAAGGTCCTTTCTAAAACTCTCAGCGGCCCATCAAAATCCTTCCAGGTCCAGATCCAATGTCATCTCTTCTGTGAAGCCTTTGCTATTTCTTCACCATGTCATTCATGAGAGTTCCCATAATACTTTAAAAATTTGTCCTTTATAGAGGTCTTATATGCGCTATTGCTGGTTCTCTGTATGTGTGCCTATCTGTTCCCTCTGAAGGGAAGGGATACATCTGGCTTTTCTTCTATGAATCCTTCAGGGTCTAGCAAAATGCCAGGCTCACAGAAGGCATTCAAAAACATACTTATTCAGTCTAGTAGATGGTCCTCTAATTTTGGCTAATATCAAGCCATGAAACAAAGCTTTGATCCTCCTTAAAAGATATCTTTTTAGAGCCTGCATATAATAACTTCTCTTCTACCACTGACTCAAAAGTAGGGTCTGAGTTACATAAACACTGTGGGGGAGCATTACAGGGGACGAGGAGAAGACTGGGAGTTACTCATGCTTTTATTCCATCCTTTTATTTTCAGAATCTACCTAAGTATCTTTGTGCGTTCGACTCATTGTTTTTTTAAAGTGTGGCTTTCCAACTATCTGCTCAGAATCACTCTAAAATTTGAGAGGCTTAAAGACTACTCCAGCATTTCACTCCTTACTTTGGTAATTCTAATCTGTGAATAAAACAAAGTTTGATTCTAAAGGACTCCTAAAAGGAAGAAGGCTGGAGGCTGCGTAGGATACTGAAAAGGCTCCTGGCTGGGGAAACACCTTGTAGACTATTAACATTCATGAAGGACTTGAGAAGGTATTGTGAAAGAAGGGTTTTGAAATGCTTTTGGTTCTGCACATTTGTAAGCATGCTGGGAATGCATCTGAATTAGGAAAACACACACATGGGCCTATTAGTCCTCACAAAGTTTAGTGTTGAAAACATCATCTGGAGAGTCTGTTAAAAATATGGAACAGGGCTCACTTCCAGTGATACAGATTCTGTAGATGTAACATTGTTTTTGTTTGCCCATCATTTGGGAATGAGCATTCATTAAACTGTTTAATACTTTCCTGGCATTTATTTTTGCTACTCCTGTCCAGAATGTCTCTTCTACTCCCCCATCCTCCTGTCTACTTGGCTAATTCACACTAAAAACTCACCTAGAGGCCTGCAGGTATCTCAGTTTGTTAGAGAGTCTTCCTGATACACCAAGTTTGCGTTGTTTTGTTTTTTTTAAAGATTTTATTTATTTATTTTTAGAGAGGGGGAGGGGAGAAAGAAAGAGAGGGAGAGAAACATCAATGTGTGGTTGCCCCTTGGGCGCCCCACGCTGGGGAACTGACCCACAACCCAGGCATGTGCGAATTGAACCCCCAACCTTTTGGTGCATGGGAGGACAACCTTCCAGCCTATGAACCATATCAATGTGCCAGGGCAGAATATCATTAGACTTTTTTTTAGGGCAACCATATTCTACAATACACACCCAAATTTAATCCCGAGGCTATACCAGGTTCTGTTACCTGTCATATGGTACTGGATGATACAGAAGGTGGCTGATCACTATATCTGTGTACTTGGGCCTGGAGATAAACAAACTCACGGTAGTTATGACTTGTTGGCGGACTTTAGGCTGGCTGATCATGGATAGCTGGGCACAGATAACTCCTATAATTTCTGGCACCTGAAGAGGGAAAAGAAATCACTAAGACCTTAATCCTGTGTGACACTGATATGTAACTGAGGATACTATGGTTATTTCTGGAAGGTCCTGGGGTTGACTTTTAAAACAGAACTGTTGCTCTGACTGGTTTCACTCAGTTGGTTGAGCGTCATCCTGAAAGGCAAAAGGTCTCTGGTTCGATTCCGCTCAGGGCACATGCCTGGGCTGCAGGCTTGGTCCCCAGTTAGGGCATGTGTGAGAGGCAACCAATCAATGTTTTTCTCCCTTTCTTTCTCTCCTCCTCTCTCTAAAAGTAAATAAATAATTTTTTAAAAATCAGGATCTTTTTTTTAAAATTATCAAAACTACATAAAATATAGCCATATGTATGTATATGCACATAAAAGGATTTGGAAGAACATATACACAAAGATGTCAATAATGTGTCTGAGTGATATTAACTTTTTTGCTTATGTATTTTTCTAATTTTTTCTCAACGATTATGTATTGATTTTACAATAAGACAAACTACTAAATTTAGTGTTGCAAGTAAGCTGGATTTTTTTCACTCTGATTCTGAGATTGGCAGAGGAGTCATACCTGCCACTGGACTTTGGTCCATTTCTCTGCTTGAACCTACGCTTCCTGCTTGTAGACTTGTGACTTCCAGGCTCTGGGGAAATATCAGCACCTCAGACAGGCAGGCCTCAACAACCAAATATAAATGCTTGTCATTATCACCAGTTGCCAGAAACTGGTTTAAGGATGGCAGGTGATGTACTTCTGGCCAGAGAAACAGGAGGGAAAATCTACTGGGGGTTATTGGGAAAGAGTTCCCTCTTTGATTAAAGGGACAAAAGGCAAACATCTCTCTTCTTTGCTGAGCAGTCTTGTCTTATCTGGTCATAAAGTGTGAAACTGTGGCAAGTATCTTATGGCTATATGAACAGGCAAAGTGGGAAGATGCAAAAGTCTCTGCCTCTCTGATAACATTGTTGAGTTACCAAACCAATCCCAGAAAATATACTCTATTTCCAGACTTCTTATTTTATTATATGAAATGATAAATCCTTGGTTTGAGCTTCTCACAGCTGGTTTTTTAAACAGCTGAAAGCACCAGGCTGATATGTGTTCATCTCACTGTACTCTCATTATATGGTTCTTTTTGCATCTTTGCTATTTTAATAGCTTAAAAATGAGTTTTCATCATTTACTAATTATGTATTCTTTTATCAAAGTACACACAATTTTAAAGTTCCAGTGGTATTTCAAGGCTTTCTCTTGCCTATTCCCCAGGTCTGCTCTCCAAAGACAACTACTTTTATCGCTTCCAGTATGTTCTTCCATATTTCTAAGTGATATAATTATATTGTTATTTCTTGATATATTAATTTTAGATACATTTAAATAAATTCTCTTGATTTTATACTTACTAAGTCAGCCCCCTTCTAGGATCACTAATGGCTTTTTAAAAATTTGACACTATTAATCAACCTGGATGAGGATCTGAAGTAAAGTTACCATTCTAGTATGTACTAATTACATCTTCCCAGAAAAACGGTACTCTTCTGGAAAATATGGACTACACCTTAGATTTGTAAAAATTGCCTTCCCTAGTTGCATTCACAGTAGTTGTTTATTATATAATTGTTGAATAGATGGATGTTCAACATTGACCAAATGGACTAAGGCTTTGACCCTGGCCTCCTTCAGCAGTTGTTCTCAGAGGAATAGAAGCAGCAGAAGAGACCCCAGCAGCTGCAGGAGGGAGAAGTGTTGCCGATATTTTAAACCCAGGAAATGGCCACTGAGCTTTTTACCTTTTCAAATCGGGACTCTGCATTTTTCACCAATGATATTAGCAATTCTGCTGACTGCTGGGTACAGGGATATTTCAGATTTTTTAGGCCATCCACTATAGTCAGTGCAAACTGGCAGAGCTCATCTGAATCGAGAAAAACTTCGAAGATCTGAAATGATTTAGGATAAATGAACTTCCAAGATATATGGTATGATAGAGCACCGAAAAAGGACATCAATTCTAAGTTAACAATCAGGCAAATGTTTAAATATGTACAATGATGTTTCCTTCAGTTCTGTTTATAAAAGTGAAAAACTGGAAGCAACCCAAATGTCCACTGCTGGGACTCTGCATGGCCTGTCATAGCTCTGACTTTTAGAAAGACTTATTACTGAGAAAGAGTCACACTTTCATAGGAATAGAACTAAAAGAAAGCCCTAATGCTATATAGATGACAGGGTCCCAGGCATAGCTAAAAATACGTTGTTTGAAGACAATGTATTGAAAGAATATGTCATTCTGCTTCTCACTGCACTTGTATATAAGGTCCATCCCACAATTATAATAGGTATAATTTGACTGGGTACTTCCTATGTGACAGGCACTAAGCAAAGCATTTTCCATACCAGCATCTCATATAACACTTACAGCATTTGAGTCATCCCAATTTTTACAGGTCCCCCTTGTACAGATGAGGAAACTGATGCACAGAGAATTTAAGTTACCTGATATCTTTGACCCTACATAAGACCTGTAGGCTTTCTTTTCCCCCCAGCCCCCTAACATAATGTCTGGTACTTGGTAGATGCTTAAATATTGGGTGAATAATGAATAAGTATACCAATTAAAAAGTGTATGGCTTTTGGGATCAACTACATTCTCTTACAGCTCCTTTTTGTGACAACGGTTTATGTATGTAAGAGGCTGGCTAGGGTTAAGAGGACAATTAATGGGAACAGAATTTGCTCTGGTTGGGTAGTTCAGTTGGTTAGAGCATTGTCCTGATACACTAAGGTTGTGGTTTTGATCCCTGGTCAGGGCACATACAACAAACAACCAATGAATGCATGTTTCTCTCTCCCTTCTGCTCTAAAATATTTTTTTGTCTTCACTTGAGGACACATTTTTCACTGCTTTCGGATAGAGAAAAAGGGAGAGAGGGAAACATCGATGCAAGAGAGAAGCACAGATCAGTTGCTTCCCACATGTGCCTGGATTGGGGATCAAATCTGCAACTTAGGAATGTACCCTGATTGGGAATCGAACCCACAACCTTTTGACACTCCAACCGAGCCACACCAGCCAGGGTTCTAAATTTTTTTTTTTTAATGGGAGCAGTCCTGACTGGTATGGTTCAGTTGGTTGGGCATTGTCCTGCAAAGCAAAAGGCCACCTCTTCAATTCCTGGTCAGGGCACATGCTGAGGTTGAGGGTTCGGTCCCTGGCCAGGGCATGTACAAGAGGAAACCAATAGATGTTTCTCTCCCTTTCTCCCTCCTTTCCCATCTCTCTATAAATAAATAAATAAAATCTTTTTAAAAAAATTGGAGCAGAGCTTGTCTGAAGAAACTGTCCATAGTGACCTTGGCCCCATTTAATAAATTACCAGAACTTTTCCCAAAGTGTTTTTACCACTTTACAATCCCATGAACAAATGTATAAGACTCTGGTTGTTTCCCATCCTCTCCAACATTTCCAGTTGTCTGTCTTAATACTTTTTGCCATTCTGATTACCTGGCCAACTTTGAAGGGACAACTGTAGAACTGTTTAATACTGAGGCATTCTAAGAGCTCTTGACATTTTTTCATTGCTCCTCTCAAGCTTCGGTGATTTTTCTTGTCCTCAGTGATATCTGAAAAGAAAATATTAAATATTGATACTTTCTGGCTTATTTCTTTCTTCTTGATTTTGCAAGTCTGGTTGATTTCCAGGTTGAAGTGGATCCCAAGATTGCTCTTCTTGTCTTTTTCACTTGAATAAAAATGCCTGGGGGAAGGAGTGTGTGTTAATCTGAAGGCTGATTTGTTTCCTCTCTGTTGTAGCACAATATATAAGAAGGGCTGAAAGAAAAAGCTTTTTGTAAAAGCAGAGCTTTGGAGTGATTTGGGCGTACAACTAAGACATGCTAAACCTTTCCCCATGAGAGGACCTTTGAGGGGGCTCCCGATGAAGCTCAGGTCCCCACAAAAAATTGCACAATTTCGTACTGTATCTCATATTCTGATATCAGAACTTTTTATGTGTATAGTTTTGCTGATTATTGAGTCTGCCAATACTCCCTCACAGTGCCTTCTGTTTCTCTAGAAATTTATTCAGGGGAAGTCTTTGAGCCCTTGGTTGAGGATACTATCTCCTCAACTAGAAAAAAAGCTCTTTGGGGGAAGGGACCTTACCTGTCTTGTTCACCAGTGCACTCCTAAAGAACAGTAGTTCTTCACAAATATTTGTTGAATAAGTAATTAGCCATACTTCCTTGACTCGATGTCTCGGTAGACAGTTCTCATACTTGGAGCTGCCCAGAGATTAGATTGCCACTTTGGGAAGCATGGAGCTTCCTTATCCAGGGATGAGTGAGCCCAGGCAACTACATAGTGGGGATAGAGTAGACTAAGGCTCAAGCACTGGGTGTGTTGCTTGGTTAGGTATCTTCTGAAGTCCCTCTTTCTATTTTCCAAACTCCTCAAGCTCATATCATACCTGCTAAAAGCCCTTTCTCGTGCTGTTCCCTCTGCCTGTGTTCTTCTTACTTTTCACTTGGCTAATGTTCTTTTTCAGATTATCTTCAGAGAGGTCTTTTCTGAACCCCATACTAGATGTGATTCTTACTCATAGCCCCAGTATTTGCCCTTCACTGCAATTATCTTTATTTATAACAACAGAGTTATTTGTGATTCTTTGATTGTCTGACTCACCCACTAGGCTCTGTTATATAAGGACTGGACCCTTACTGTTGTATCCCAAGTAAGTACTCAGTAAACATTTATGAGATAAATAAATGAACAAAGGCCCAAATGATGGCAAGAACCTTTTCCACTTCTGACCAAACTAATCACTACATGTTTAGATACTCAACTCCATGGCCATGTATGCGGCTGACATGGATGAGTCTAATCCAGGGTTATAATTCTAACCATTAAGTCAGTGTTGCTTCATCTCTAACTATGGACTAGGCACCTTTCTCATTATAAACTACTGTAAAAAGTCCTCCCAGGATGTGAGGAGTCAGGGTGCAGGAAGATGGGTGCTTGTGTTGTACTAGAGAATTTATTCAGGGCTTGGCTGCCTTCAGCAGTGCCTTACACTTCAGCCGCAAGGTGATATGTAGCAGGTAATGCATGCCCTCTGCAGCCTCCTCGGCCACCTCTTTCAGTAGGTCCCCACACAGTAGAGCCATCCGAGCCACTAGTTGTCCAAGTCTTTGGAATTGCAGTGGAAGCTAGTTAGGTAGAAAAAGAAAAATGCCATTATAATACAGGTGTATTTAGTATCTTAGATTTAAGTTAATGAGAATTCCACTTTGACCACCTATTCAAGAAAAGTGCAAGAGTCATTCATCCCTTGGATCTCATTAGGGTTATTATTTAACATGTGTAGATACACTATATCTAGCAAATTATAGCAAATATGGCAACCTCTAACCTAAGTAAGCAATCTAAGAAATGAAAAAGTTTATATGTAAATATGTTCATTTTAGTACTGTTTTAAAGACCCCACATTGAAAATAATTGTCCAAGAGTAAAGAAAACTATGGTTTGGCCACCCTAAGAATACAATGATTAGGAATCAGGTATCCTAGGAAATTATAATAATGCAGAAAAATGTGCTAGTCTTCTATGTGAAAAAGTTGGATACAAAGTTAAGGTGTACCATTTAATACTATTTTAAAGATGTATTTATTGGTATTTTGCCTTACTATGGGAAAAAAAGTAAAGTAGCTGGCAAAAAGCATATCTGCAAAAGAAATATAAGTTAAAATAAATAGTGAAAATGGGATAAAATAAAAAATGAAGGTAGAGAAGATAAATTAAGAATTTGTTTAGCATACAGAATGCATAGTCATCATTTGCTTGAGATAAGCCATGGAGCTAGGCCACAGAGGTAGGCTCTGGATTTTCTCAGGGCTAATGCAGAGGTACACACAATGTCCATACAAAGTAATTCAAATCGCCCATAAGAAGCAAAAAGCCATGCAGAGAAAGCACAACTGTTTCTAGGACTGGGGAAGAAAGAAATTTCTTCTATAGCTCTTTGGAAAAATACACTAAGATATTGTGAACAATAGCCTCTACAACCTATTTACAGTAAATGCAGCAACACATGCACAAAGCTGTGTAACATGTTTAATTCACCAGTAGCCTTGATTCATTCAGTCAATCAAAAAATACTGTGTCAGGAACTGGTTATGACTATGGCACTTATGACTAAAGCACTTTAACTGGCACTGGTGATATAACCAGTGAACAGAAGATAATATCCCTACTTATGCCCTGGTTGGTGTGGCTCTGTGGATTGAGTGCCAGCCTATTACCCGAAGGGTCGCCAGTGTGAGTCCCAGTTAGTGCATACGCCTGGATTGTGGGCCAGGGTCCCCAGTTGGGGCACGCGAGAGGCAACTACGCATTGATGTTTCTCTCCCTGTCTTTCTCCCTCCCTTCCTGAACTCTGTCTAAAAATAAATACATAAAATCTTTTTTTTTTTAAAAAAAGAATATCCCTGCTTATGGAGGTGATATTCTAGTTGGAGGAACAAAAAGGAACGCAAAAAGCATATGTATCAAATGGTGATATATGCAATGATGAAGAAAAACGTAGAGGAAAAGTGTAAGAATTGCTATCTTAGAATGGTCAGGGAAGACCTCATTAATATTAAAATGAGGGATTGAGCCATGTAGAAATCTGGGAGAAAAGCATTCCAGGCAGAGAGAACAGCAGGTGCAAAGAGAAGGGACGGTGTGAGGTGTCTCTGAGGAACAAGCAGGCTAGGTTGGCTGGAGCAAAGTATATAGCAGCCAAAGAAATGGGAGGCAGATGAGGATGAGGCCAGATCACATAGCAACTCACAGAAAATTGTAAGGATTTTGGATTTTATTCCTTGTGAACTGGGAAGCCACTGGAAGTGTCTGTGCAGATAAGGGACATGACCTGACCTACATTTATTCAATAAATATTTAATTGAGCATCGACTATGTGGCATGTTCTATGCAAGGCATTGGGAATGCCGCAGTAAACAAGACAAACATGATCACTGGCAAAATTCATATTCTATTAGAGGGAACCAAAACATAAGTCAGTAAAGAAATAATCAAGTGAGATAACCTTTGATTCTAAGAAGCCATAGGAAAAGAGAGTGAAGAGATAGAGAACAAGGGTAGATCTATTTGTAGGCAAAGGCCTTTTTGAAGTGGAAACATTTAAACTGAGCACTCAGGATTGAGGAGAGTTTAGCTATGTGAAGAGTTAGGGAAGGTCATTCCAAGCAGAAGTAGTAGTAATGCAAAGGCCATGAGGCAGGAAAAGATGTGTATGGTAAGGAATATAAAGGAGGTCAGCATGGCTGGAGTAAGTCAGGGAGTATAGATGGGTAGGCAGGAGCTAAATCATACAAGACCTTGTACTCTAAGAACAGTTGGAAATTGTTGACTCAAAAGAGTGACACAGGTTTACGAAGATTACTCTGACTACATATAGAGAACTGAAAGAAACTGAAGTAGAAGCTCCTGCCCCAAAACATTCATGCACAAAAAGTACTCAGAAGGAATAAATAAAATTGTTAACAGTGACTATCTCTGTGGGCCCTCAGATATTTTTAGACTACATTTATTTACTCATTCAAAAACATTTACTATATTGTTATGTTCTAGCTCTCGTGCTAAACAATGAGGATACAAGATTAATAAACATAGTACCTGGCCTCAAGCTGCTTGAATTTTAGGAGAGGAGTAGGTACATGATTAATGCTAAGTGCCATGACATTTTGCAAGCACCAGGGAGTCACCAGCCTGGGAGTCATAAACAGGAGGGGAAATAGGGAGTAATAGGATGCCTATTACTTGACAGGCTGGCTATTACTTGACAGGATGGCTTTGGATCCTTCCTCCCCTGCCACTGATGGGCTGCTTACCTTCAAGGTGAGATGTCTGTATAAGCACTTCAGAACTTGAGCCATGCTGGCTGTGGCTCGTTCCCGCTCATGGTCTTTAACTGACTGTAACCATGGTTCCATGTGCTATGAAAAATGAAGGGAGCCTACATGATTTGTCAAGGAAAATCTGTGATAGCTCCTTTACTGTGATGGGAAGAAAATGTGGAGAGGGAAGTTCCACATGTCATTACAATGTCTAAAAATATTTTTCTAAATGATAAACTAGTTTTGGTTGGAAATTAAAGTGGTGCGAGGACGAACGAGGCACAAAGGCCTGCGGGGGTGTCCAACCTGTGGTCCACGGGCCGCATGTGGCTCAAGATGGCTATGAATGTAGCCCAACACAAAATCATACATTTACTTAAAACATTATGAGATTTTTTTTGTGATTACGTGTCACAGCGTATTTAATGTGTGGCCCAAGACAACTCTTCTTCTTCCAGTGGGACCCAGAGATGCCAAAAGGTTGGATACCCTGGTAGGGTTATCAGGTGCTCTGGCTTCTATAGGTGCTTATTTTCTAGACTTATTTTCCCTTCATCCCACTTTCTTAAATTATTTATTCTATTCTTTTCTGTGTTTTCAGCTTTCTGAAACCTGCTTTGGAAAGAAAGGAAATTAATTACATGCTATTAAAGAACTCTGAGGATGGGGGAAATTGCATCTGCCTGCAAAAGTCAGGGAAGGATTCATGGAAAAGATAATATCCATCGATAAAAGTTCCATAAAGAAGAAACGACTTGAACTAAGCTGCCAAGGCAGGGGAGTACATGGTACAACTGGATAAAGGAGATAAACCCAATTTGCCTGGAGTGTTGATATACAAAAATAAGAGAAATGAGAAATAATGTTAAGGTTGATTTTGGCAAAGATAAATGTCCATCTGTATTTATGCACGAATGATTAATAATAGTTTAAAGGGTTACCCCTTTCCAGGGTATCTACATCTTGAAAAGGGCCAAGAGAGCTTGCTCACATTACTTGCTGAATTTATAATCAATGAATGGCAGAGTCAGAACTTGAATCCAAGTCGGACTCAAAACAGATAGCTGATACTCTTATCTATTATCCTATCTCTCAGGACTTAATCCTGCCACATTTTCTCCTTCCACTTTCACCAGTTAATATAAAGTTTCCCATTCTCTTGATATCCTGTTTACCTTAAAAATAATGTCAAAATTTTCCAAATGTGGGTCTTTTACCACCAAACTCTGGAGCATCTCAGAGAACACCTGAAATGTCTGCCTGTAGAGACACTGAAAAGGCACAAGGATAAGTGATGCCCCCCCCATATGAAGTTCCCCAATACTGTACACTTTTCAGGCTCTCCTCATTATCTTGCAGAACTTTACTTAACATTGCAGAACCAGTAAGAAAGTACTGGTAGACAGTCTGTGAAACAATATATATTTGTATTACGCGGACAGTTCAACATTACTGGGAACACAGTTAACTGATTCTAACTACATTTGGGGAATTACTTAGGGGAATCAAAGTGCTTTTAAAGTTTGACTTGTGACTCTTTCTGATGTCTTGAAAGGAAGGGGAATAAAGTCCCCTTTGGCAAGTGCTTTACCAACCAGTTTACTAGTGGCAGAAAGAAATCAAGGCCTTTGTTCTTCCTCTTCTCTCTGCCTGGAAGATTCTCCTCCGGAGATATCCACACTCTGCCTTTTCAACGGTCACCTCATCAGGAAAGCCTCCCCTGACCACCTTAGGTAAAGAGCCCCATGCCTCCCAACCACAGAATTCTCTAGCCTCTTTCCCTGCTTTATTTTTTCATAGTACTTGTTACCACCTGATACCACATTTAGCAGCGGTTCGTTTCTCTGCACTAGGGTGCAAGCTCCCTGGATTGGAGAGTGTACTGCTACATTTCTGTTGCTTACCATGATGCTTAGCACGTGGTAACCCTAAATACCTGGTAGGTGTACGAAAGCTCTGCCTTATTTTAAATCCAAAAGAAACAAAAAAAGAAATGAAGGGGAAAAGAAGACAAAAGGGGAAAAACATGCTATTTAATTTAACCACCTATTCTATTCACCAGACTTGGCTTAAGTGGTTTTTGGCTAGTTCTAAAAAAATCAAACACACTCTCTAGTGGCCAATAGCAGCTGACCCGGGGGATGGCAAGTTATTTAAGTGTGAGTTACCTCTGAGTTGCTGGACCCACTTGGCATGATTTCCTGCAGTTGGGTAAGAGTCTTTTCAGAGGGCAGAGTGATTATACTTTTGGTGATAAGGCTGAACAAGTCAACTCGATCTTCAGAGCCAAACAACAAATGGATATCTTGGTAACTAAGAAAAGACAGTTTGGGATAGCAAGCTGGGAAGTGTTTGACTTGACACTGATAAGCAGAGATCAAAGTAGCCCAAAAGGAAAGGATCAGTGTATCATTCTGATGGAAGAGATAAATGGACTGCTTGTCAGTGTATTTAGATAACATCTTACAAAAGGCTAGAGAAAGAGTTTTGGGCTCCGAGCCTCCATCCTTCTCCCCTTACCTCCCCCACCTACTCTCCAGGAGGTCACTGGGGTGACGTCCTTCCAGGTTTTCCTCCAGTTCATCCATGGAAGAGAAGCCTGCTATAGTCTAACATAGTAAAGTACAATTTTTCAAAGATCGTGCTTTTTTGTGTTCTGCTGAGTGTGTGTCTGTTTGGGGAATGGCAGGTTAAACCAAGTTAGAAACCTTTTTAACTAGTTCTAAAGGACTTCTTAGGACCTTTAATCAGATAATGTGCAGTGCAAATCTCCAAAAAAGGTAAACAGAAGACAGCCCTACCAAATTTCTTGGTCTGTGGAACTCTGTCATGAAGCAGAAATAGTAGCAACTTTCCACTGAATATACTTTGGACAAAACTGAACTCTAAGGAGTTCCAATCGGGTCTTGCAGATACAAATGGTAGCATGTACGAAATCAAAGTTCTTATACAAAAATATAGATTTGGCTCCCACAGCTCTATCTAAATAGTTTTGAGAAGTTAAAAATATGGAACATGTCAGTTGATGTGGCTATTGGCCCTGAATGAAGTTCCATGATGCATGTGTAGAGGGCATATGGATGTCACCTGAGGTCAGTGATGGTGACAAAGATGACCTGGCGCACAGGGCTGAAGAGAGAGTGCAGGGGCTCCTCTTCCACCAGAATCTGCAATGAGAGGGAAAGAACTTTGGGAGAGAGTGGCGAGAATGCGCCAAGTCATTAGGCCAAATGATGAGATGTGTGGATAGCCTGCAAAAACAAGAGCAGGTCCTTCAGAGGGCTCCGCTCCACAGCTCCACAGGACTGGCAGCAGGACAGTGGCGAGGCCAGGAGTTTATCCTCTGGAGCCAGACCCCGAGGCCTGGCTCTGCTTCTTACTAGATCTTTGAGCTGACACAGTTATTCACCTCCTGTTACCTGTTTCCTCATCTGTAAACTGAGGTTAACAGTGCTACTTATCTTCCTAGGGTAGTTGTAAGCACTAAATAAGTTAATTCATAATACCTAGAAGCCCTCAAAAACTGTTAGACAGTGTCTGTTATTCGTTATTTTTATTACTAGTGATTATTTCCAGTTTAGGCATCCTAACTCCTCTTTCTACTAAACCAGCCATCTCTAATATAGCGTCTAATATTATTTTAAGTTACTTGTCCTAGAAAAGGAGTACCCCTGAGTATTTCTCCTCCATGCATAGATATTAATATGAGAAAAGGATAAGGGAATCAACAACATAGGTTACACCATTAAAACATTTGTTAGCTAAGTCACCGAATTTGTATGGTTCCGATAATTTGTGATAAGGTCACAATACTTACATATAGGATATGCACAATGTCTGCGATGTGGCTGTGAATGAACGATTCTGTGGTTTCATCAGGTAAAGTTCGGCTGAGAGAAGACAAAGATCTCAGGAACGTCAGCTTCTCGTTTTCAGTCTGAATTTGTGAAAAAACCATAAAAACTCAATTACACATTATAATCCCACTTGGTATTTATACAGGGCTTTTGAAGTTTCTTGGAGTGTTTTAAACATCTGACATCTCATTCAATCTAGTATGTTTTATTATGAGGGATGAATAAGTTACAGAGGACTGAAATTCTTTGTCCAGTGGCCCTGCTTGGGTTTGTGACCTTGTCTTCCTGCTCAGATAGATTTCTAAGTGCTCCCTAATGGCTTTCCTCACCTTTAGTCTGTTTCCTCACCGACCCACCCTGTATCAGACCCACTGCTGTCTGATTAAGATTCCTAAAGGTGACCTCTGATGCTGTTACTTTTAGCTCTCTTGACGTCATTAAACATTCATTATTTTGAGTCTTTACAGTTCCTATTAAGAAATGCAAGTTCTGATTTGAAGAATAAAATCTCTTTATATTATCTGTTTTTGCTAAATATAAAGCCACAAATTGTCATAGAAACTTAGAAAAAATAAAGTATGTATAAAGAAGAAAATAAAAGACCGATAATTCCACAATCTTTGAGAAAATGTCTTCCCATCTCCAGCTCCCGCTCCCCTGCAACCCACCCCCCAACCCCCCAACACACACATAGATGGTATAAAACTGGTATAAGCTCTCTGGAAAACAAGTAGCAATACACAGCAAGAAGCTGACTTGACGGCCTCATTCTCTATCACCAGGATTAGTTTAACAATGCAACACTAGGTTTCTCTGCTCTAGTTTTGCCTCTCTCCTATCTATCCCCCAGGCTATCACCAGAGTGATCTTTTTAAAAATGCAAATTTGACCAGGTAACTCCTATGAAAAATCTCCCAATAGCACCCATGGAGGTCAAGGCCATTCCCAATGTGACCCCAGCTAATCTTTTCAAGTTCATCTCTCACCTTGTCTGCAGCATTTTGTGTTTTAGCCAAATTAGCTTTTATGCTGCCCTCTCTTGCTTCTGGGCCTTTGCACCTTCTGAATTCTCTACACTTCTTTTTGTTTACTGACTCAAATCCATGTATCCTTTAAGACTTGGATCATACATTCCCTCCTGAAGCAGTGTCAGGTCCTCTTCCTAAGTGTATCCATGAACTCCATGTGTATATTGCTATCATGCCATTTGTAATACTATGACAAAATTACCTTAATTCATCTGCTTCACTGACTGGCTGAAGACTCAGGTTAAGGCAGGAGATGGACTCCATCCCCACCCCCCCACTCCCACCCCTGCCAATTCACAGCAGCAATCCAAGCCCATTATTAATTACAAAGAATCCTCTATGACATGAAGCATAAAGAATAGTCTGAGTCAAAGTGAATACCAAAATTCTGGCTTTAAGTTATTTTAATAAAATTTTATTTGTATTATATATGGAGAAAATGTAAAGCGTGTTGAATTTTCACAAACCAAAAACATACGTGTATATGTGTATATCTAAAGGAAATGAAATCTGGATCTCAAAGAGATATCTGCACTTTCCTGTTCTTTGCAGTGTTATTCACAATACCCAAAATATGGAAACTTAAGTGTCTGTTGATAAATGGCAATCACCTTTGACACTATTATTTAAACGTACCATGCTTCTTTGAGTTTATTAAATATGCTCTGCCCCTTTCTCCCAAAAGGTTGTTAAACACACCATTTTCTACTTCTGTAACACTCACTCCAATTCTAATTTCTGTTTTCTCCTATTCATTCCTCAGATCTGAGCTCAAGAGTTACTTCCTTAGAAATGCCTTCCTTAAGAATATACAAGTGGGACTTCATCAAAATAAGAAGCTTCTGCATGGCTAAAGAAAACATCAGCAAAATGAAAAGGGATCCAACCATATGGGAAAATATATTTGCTAATGATACATCAGATAGAGGTTTGATCTCCAAGATATATAAAGAACTCACACGACTCCACTCTAAGAACACAAATGATCCAATCAAAAATGGGCAAAGGACCTGGGCAGACGCTTTTCCAAGGAAGAGATACAGAGGGCCCAGAGACATTTGAAAGGATGCTCAGCATCACTAGCCATCAGAGAAATGCAGATTAAAACCACAGTGAGATACCACATCACATCGATCAGAATGGCCATCATAAACAGATCAACAGACAACAGGTGCTGGCGAGGCTGTGGAGAAAAGGGAACCCTAGTACACTGTTGGTGGTAATGCAGATGGGTGCAGCCATTGAGGAAAACAGTGTGGAATTTCCTCAAAAAGCTAAAAATGGAATTGCCTTTTGACCCAGTGATTCCCCTGCTGGGGCTATACTCTAAGAATCCCAAAAGGCCAATTCAAAAGAACCTATACACCCCAATGTTCATAGCAGCACAATTTACAATAGCCAAGTGTTGGAAGCAACCTAAATGCCCATCAGTAGATGACTGGATCAATAAATTATGGTACATTTATACAATGGAATACTACGCAGCAGAAAGAAAAAAAGAACTACTACACTTTGCGACAAGCGTGGATGGAACTCGAGAGCATTATGCTAAGTGAAATAAGCCAGGGGGTGAAAGACAAATACCATATGATCTCACCTATAAGTGGAACCTAACCAACAAAACAAAGATGCAAGGAAAATAAGACCAGCAACACTGAAAGAAAGAAGAAACCAACAGAGACAAGAGGAAAGGAGGGAGGGGTAGGCGGGGAAAAGGAAGGGAAGGGTCAAGTCAAGGAACATATATCAAAGACTCATGGACAAAGCCAAAGTGGGAAAGGATTGAGGGAGGGAGGTGGGGGAGGGAGGCAGGGTAAAGTGGTGGGGGTAGGCAGAGACAAACGCATTTGAAAAAATTAATTAATTAATTAAAAAATAAAATAAAGTATTTTAAAGACAGGAAATAAAAAAAAAGAAATGCCTTCCTTTACCCCTAGATTAAGATATATTCTTCTATTATGTATTCTCATAGAATGAATGAATGAATGAATGCATGCTTCACCTAAACAATGGAATACTGTATTAAGTAGGATAATATAGATTTTAGTTATTGACTTAGAAATTTTCTTCTCCCACCATTTCTGATGTTTATTTTTCTATAATTACATTCATTGGTATACATAGGAAAAAAGTCTGAAAATATATATACCAAAATATTAACAGTAGTCATCTTAGGAGAGTGGAATTAAGAAAGATTAACTTTTAATTTTTATTATGGTTTTCTTTGTTTTTATAGTAATTTGATAATTTTTATAAATATAAGTATAAATATAGGTATAACTTATAAATGTATATAAATATATATTACAAATATAAAATAAACAAAAGTAGAAATTTTATAGCTTATAAATTTGTATAAAAAGAAACAAGTGTTTAAAATAAAGTTGGATAACTTGTAAAGATTGCTTGTGCATACCTTTAGCTCACCATTAAAAAACTCCTGGATGGATTCAATCAACTTCTCAATGGTGGCCTCGCTGAAGGGGTCCTCGCTGAAGGGGTCTTCGCTGAAGGGGTCCTCATGGGTCAGGTGTCTGACTCTATCTGTGAGGGATTCCAGAGGGAGGTCAAGAGATGACAGAGATGTCTGAGCCTAATACTGAAAGACAGACTTCAGATAATGCTTCCATACTATGTAAAGTTATATGGTTTATTGGGGAGAACCACTGGACATCAGGATAGACAGGTCCTATTCTCACCTTCACTACTTGCTCTGCCCAAGTCCCTTTCCCTTTATGAGTCTCAGTTTTCTCAATTACAAATTCAATGTTCTCTAAGGGCTTTCTAAGCTACAAAAACCTTTAAGAGTGAACTGTGCCAGAGTGGTTAAGAGCACAAACTTTACACATCAGTTTCAGGTTAGCTGGAATCCTGGCTCTCTCACTTATTAGTTCTATGACCTTCATTAAGTTAATTTGCCTGTTTGGAACCTTAGTTTCTTCACCCATAAAACAGGATTATTGTGAGGACTAAGTGAGGAAATGCAAAACTTATCCCACCCAGTATGTGGCCCACAGTAAGCACTTAAATGGTACATATTCTTCAAATTCAAAAGTTTATGACTCTGTGATGACAAGAGCTTAAAATATAGTAGCAACCCCTTACTGATCTCTTCCCACTTGACCAGGCTGCAGTAAGTGCTTGAGGTATTTTCTTCTTGACCTGGGATGTACTTTGATTAAGACCTCAGGCTCCAGAGTTGGGAATCTTTGCTTTTTTCTAGCATTCTGACCCTGTGGGACCTTACTTTCTCTGGGCCTATTTCTTCATTTCCAAAATGGGGATGATAATAGAACCTACCTTATTTGCTTGATACAGAACTAACACCAAAGAAGTGCTGGCAAATATTATTCCTCTGCTCACTCAGTGACAATAATTATGTGGCGTCATTTTCCTCTTCATGTAGCTTTACATCCTTTTTTCCTGTACGTTGCAATACCAAATACCTATTCCTATTGGGCAAATAGGTTTACTATTTCCCTCTTAACACACCTATTATCTGAGGGATTCTACCACTCAATTTTTATAGCCTCTCCTGCAAATTCCTCCCACTGCCTTCCACATTCTTACCATCTGGTAGAAGCCATGTTCTTGTTCACTTCTTATCTTCGCACTGGATTTCCTTTGCTTGCATGTCTCCCTTTGTTCTCCCCCACCTTCCCTTACCTCTTGTTGCATATCGAACTCCTACTTGTCCTTCAGGGCTCAGCTCCAGGATGCTTTTCTTGAATACCTCTTTGGCCATTTTGGCTAAGCATCCTTCTAGCTACGAATGAAGCTCTCTATATTTGCTCCTTTCCCTTACCTCTATCACCAATCACACATATTACACTGAGGTTCAGTCATTTGTTTATCTATGAGTATACTGTGTTCTTTTCACTGCTGTATCTCCAGAAGCTAGATCAGTGTTTAGAGCACAGGAGGGCTTCAATAAATATTTGTTGAATGAATGTAGAAACAAATGAATGTAGTTCATCAAACACACCATAATCTTTCCTGTCTCATGCAAATGCTGTTCCACCTATCAAAATGCTTTTCCCTCTACTTCTCACATGAGTTGTTCTTTCATGTCCTTGAGACCTCCTTTAGGTTTAAATAACACTTTCTCAGACAGGTGTTCTCTAACAAATTATGGTTTAAATTGGGTTCCCATCCCTGTAATTTTTGGCTCAGCCCCTTTTTTAATTATTTTGTAGTGTTTACTACATCTTATAATTACTTTATTTATTGTCTCTTTACTTATTTTGGTCCTCAGCACTATGATGTACAACTGTGAGGGTACAGACCATGTTGGTCTTGTTCATTGTTTATGCCCAGTAATTGGTACTTAATGTTTGTGGAATAAATGAAAGAATTACTCCATAGCTCAAGCCAAATTTCACCCACATCTACCTTTCCCTTCTCAGAATCCTTCTTGCACTACTCTGTGCAAGTTGGCAGGACTATTTGTCTCAGGACCAAGTTTAGTTTCTTGTATGACTAGAATAACATTTTATCTCATTTTGCCAACCATATTCCAAGGTCTTAAAGTCAGGGATCAAATTCGTTGTCAAAGTCTAGTTGAGGGCTGGTCACCCAGCCATCTGACTTGAAAAGAGATGCCCCTTCCCTTTTCCTTATCCTTTTCCCTGTTCACCTGTATGTTCAAGGCTACTTGGACTCTTTTGAATATCCTCTAAGTTGCTCAGCTGCAAATCCACGCTTCCTGAATCACTGTCAGAAGCATAAGGAATCACTACTTCTTTCCAACTACAGATCCTAGGAATAAAGAGGGGATTAGAAAAATTAGTTTTTCAGGACTGCTTCTGTATCATCACTCAAGTAAAAACTTAAATGTCACTTTTTCAGAGGCATTTATTGATCACCAATCTAGGTTCAGCAGCCTCTCCCCACCCTAGTCCTACAGATATTTTGTTTTTTCCATAATATTTAATGATTACCTACAATTATCAAGTTAGTTTGTGTTGTTTATTGACTGTCTCCCATTAGACTATTAGCTCCATGAGGAGGGAAATCTTGTCTACATGATCATAGTTGTATCCCCAGCACTTAGCATATTGTCAGCCTCATGGGGAGTGAAAGGGTAGGTAAGAAGTACTACACCACTGCTAAAAAGAGGCTGAGATAGAATATGCCCCCCCCACCTCCCTCAATTCCTTACCCCTTCTTTTCTTTCTATAGCACATGACATCTTCTAATATATGATTCACTTATTTATGATACTGGTTTTGGATAATAGTTTTTCAAACACTAGAAAAATATGCCTTCAAGTTTTTGTGCTATTCACAATGTAAAGTCTATAGACATGACACATTTTTAAGTTTAATCTCCATTAACATTTTATCCACCATTAGGTTTAGACACTAACAAAGCAATAAACTGTTAACCTAAAAATAAAATGCCCTTTCAAATTGAGAGGCAAACAAGTATTTATTTGAGATCAGTAAGAATAGCTACTTGGGAATCAACTCAGGTGGAAGCTCAAACCATGTTGCAATTAGGAGACAAAGGCAATGAGTATTTATGAGAAAGGGAAGGGGAACAACTACATTAATAGAAGGGAAGCATTTCTATTGGTGAAGATAATATAGTGACGTTAATTCTAAACAGTGTTTTTAATTTTCAGTCAAGTGTCATCAGTTATAAAAATTGCTTTTTTTTGTTATTTTTGCAAACAGTTCTTTGGGACATAAAGTTGTGCAGAAGTTATTTTGCTCTCTTTTAACGTTACAAAGGTTTGAGACACAAGACTGCAAAGCAGTTCCTCTGGCATAGCTGGCTGCTCCAGCTCCTTTTTTCCCCTGGCTGGTGTGGCCCAGTGGACTGAGCTCTGGCCTGGGAACCAAAGTGCCAATTCAATTCCCAGTCAAGGCACATGCCTGCGTTGCCGGTCAGATCCCTAGTAGGGGGCGCTCTAGAGGCAACCACGCTGATGCCTCTCTCCCTCCTTCCCCTCTCTAAAAATAAATAAAAAATTAAAAAACCCCCACAAAGTGGCTTTTTAAAAAAAAATTAAATTGATTATGAAATGATGAGTTCGGTTTTCTTTTTTCAATTCTTTATTTATTGATTTTAGGGAGAGAGTAAGGGAGTTAGGGAGGCTGGAGAGGGGAGAGACATTGCTTTGTTGTTCCACTTAAGCACTCCTTGGTTGTTTCTTGCGTGTGTCCTGACAGGGAATCGAATCCGCAACCCTGGCATATGGGGATGACGTTCTAGCCAACAGAGCTACCCGGTCAGGGCTAAGGTTGGTTTTCAATATCCTTTATTTCATTTTAAGTTCGTATGATTTAATTTTTCTAAATAGCGGCATTTAACAACCAATTTGGAAATTACGGACAAATTCAACAATTGGCTTTAGCAAACCTGTCTGAGATGGCTCCAGCACACTATTGGTTGTCTTACTACTGAATTGAAATATTTCTTTACATATTCTAGATCAGTACTGTCCAGTAGTATTTTGTGATAGTAAAAACGTTCTATAATTCTGCGCTATCCAAACAATATCCACTAGCCACACGCGGGCATTTAAAAATGTGTCTAGTACAAACTGAATTTTTAGTTAATTTAAATTCAAATTTAAATATTTACATTTAGCCAGTATCTACCATACTGAACAGACCACCACCAGACATAGCAAGAACTGACTCTCCCAATTTGGGATAATCATATCTGGGGCACTAATATGGGGCAGTTACCATATTGTGCATGCTTCATATGTTCATTATAGTTAAAAGCACAGGTTATGAAGTCAAACTGCCTTGGTTCAAATCTTTCAGTTTCCTTCTCTATAGAATGGAATCACAGTGTGTATCTCACAGAATGGTGATAAGAAGTAAGTGAAAAATGTACGTAGAGCTCTTAGTACACTGTCCGGCTGCACTGTTAACCCTCAATAAAGGGAGTTCGTTATCATTTAGCTCTTAATATAAGTTCACTTCTATTTTGGAGCCTGCAACTTGAAAATCTTGTACACTTTGGCTAACACGTTGTTCAAAGAGTTATTATGAGGAGTCACTGAGTCAACACAAATGCTTTGCAAATCAGATGAAATGTCGCTCACAGGTCAGTTATTAACCACTAAAACAATCTTGGAAGGAAACTGCCATAATTTTTCAAAGGGAGAAAAAAAACAACCACTATCGACTACCGACCGCCCTTCTCACTTGACCCTCCCCATTTCTTTAAAATTAGCCCGCTGCACTGCAGCCTGAGTGACAGGCGACCGACCAACCAGAGGAGGCCCCGTCTCGAGCCCACCCTTGAAGCGTCGCCCAATAGTGTGGCGGTAGCTGCCGGAATAGGACCGTTGCGAGGCGGCCGGTTCCAAGTGGGCCCAGGCGCCGGGGGAGGCGGCCTTATACGCGACGACCGCAGGGCCCTGTGCGTACGAGGACTGGAATTCCAGCCGTGGCTACTGAGAGCAGTCCGGCCCAAAGGAACGGCCGGGACTGACCTGTGCCTAGAGTCCATCTCAGCTCGCGGAGCCTGCCACGAGTCTCCGGCGTCCCCTCCGGCGTGCTCCTGGAGCCACTTTTCCGAGCGGAAGTCAGCCTGCGTTTCGGGCTCTTTTGGGACCTGCTCGGAAGAATGGCGCTGCCGGGTGAGGTGTTGCGCATGGCTGGATGGCGGGGCCCCGCGGACTGCACGCCTCGGCGGGTGGGCCGGCGCCTGTGGGAGGCCAGTGTTTACCACTCGGAAGCCGGCCCTGCGGGGTGGTCCCCTTCCTCTGCGGGACAGGGGCATGGGTTCCCGCACTCCGAGTTTGACGAGCGGGTGGGACTGCCCGGGACCTGAGGAAGGTTGGGCGGGGCGGGGGGGGGGTGTGCAGTGCCGAGCTACGGGTACCCCCGAGGACCAGGCTGTGTACCGCGGCCCTGGTTAACTCTAGGTCTGTCTTCACCCATTCATTTGACTCGCGCGGGCTCCCCGGCCAGGAGGCCTAAGAGTGAGCTTTTGGCCAAATCATCCTTTGGGCCATAGCGTCTTTTTTAGTGAAATGGGGCAAACAGACAGACAGACAAAGAAACAAACAAAAACACCTGTCTGGGAGTTTAGAGAGTAAGTAATGAAGTTAGATTTTTCCCGGATGCAAATTTGTAGTCCGCCACGTATTCGTTCTATGACCCCACCGCAAGTTACTTAACCCCTCTGCACCTCAGTTTCTCATCTATAAAACAAATTGGTCACATTGTCTGCCTCATAAATTGCTGTGTCGTTAAATGAGATAATCTCTGTGAATAGTTTAGAACTGTACCTGTCACTAAATAAGCACGCAGTAAAAGCCACCTGCAATGCTAGTTAACAGGTGGTCACTGCAGGATAGAATCTCATGTTGTCTCCCATGTGTACTAACGTTATTTCCAATTGACTGACCGAAGGGAAGAGGGAATCCCAGGAAAGGAAGTAACCTGCCCAAGGTAACAATGTCAGTGGCTTACCGCTCCATTATTTAAGATGAGAGCAATAGAGATTAAAAACAGACTTTGGATTCAAACCGCTTGCAGTTTGGTTCTCAGCTAGTTATGTGCCTTAGGGCAGGTAACTACTTCTGAGTCTCAGTGTCTTGGTGTGTAAACTGCACTCACTTAGATATTTGGGATTTAATGGCTTAATGCATGCAATGTACTTAGCTTATTAGTATGGGCGTACTTGACCCGTATTAAGTGTGCAAATTTTAGCCAAGAAAGTTGTTGTTATCATTAATGGGAGGTGAGTAGATTAGGATTCTGACACAGATTCTATGTTAGGGTAATTTACAGTCTAGTTGGGAAAATACTAGATAGATCTTAGTCATTCACTGGATCTTAATATATTGAGTACATACATGGACAAAAGGCACTGGGGATTCATTCAGCATTAGTGTCTTGACACCTCATTAGCACACATCTTTCTAACCATTAGCAATTCTGGCTTTAACTATGAATTTTAGCCCTACTGACCACTCCTCACCACCTCTACTGCTGTCACTTTGGCTTGGGCCACTGTCATCTTTTACTTGAATTATGGCAATAATCTCCAAACTGGTATCCCTCTTTAGGTCCCAGGTCCTGTATAACCTCAGCATAGTATTGTTTATTCTCAACACAATGATTGTGTTAAAATGTAAGTCTTCTGCTCAGAACTTTCTAGTGGCTCCCACCTTGTTCAGCAAAAGCCAAAGTTCCCACAGTGACTTATAAGGCTCTTCATATTTGGCGTCTGATACCTATGTCACCTTGTCCCTACTTTTCACCCTTTGCTTACTGCTCTTTAGCCATGCTGTTCTTGCTAATGTAAAAAAAAAAAACCAAAACAACAAAAAAACCCCAAACCCCCCACCATATACACTCCCAATTCAGGGTCTTCAAACTTGCCTTCTTTTTGTGCTTATTTCCCTCCAAGTGCCTTTATGATTTGCTCCTTCTTTTCCTTCAAGTCTCTCACAATATTTTTATTTCTTACTTGGCCTACCATATTTAAAATTGAAGCTCTTCTCACATTCCCCTTTTGTGCTGTATTTTTCTCCGTAACATGTTTCACCTTTTAAAATGATAAATAATGCATCTTAATTATTTTGCATGATATTTTTCTTTTCCCACTGGAATGTAAGCTCCATGGGGTTGGAGGTTTTTCCTATAGCTCTGTTTCCTGTTGTATCTTTTAACACCAAAACAATGCTTGGTGCATATTACAAATTAAGTAAATATTAGATGAATGAATACTGCACATTGTAGATCTCTCTAGTGTTTTTTAAAAAGAGCTTTTACATTCTTCAGATTATTTAATACACAGAAGGACTTAAATAGAACTCACCTTCATGCCCCAAGGTAGGCGTCCCTTCTATATCATTCTCCAAAAAATAGTGGGGCGTGAATACCCTAGTTAGACCTGGACTTGAGTCCAAGATTGGCTATGTATAAACTACTCTGGTCCTCAGTTTTCTTATTTGTAAAGTGGATATAATGATTCCTTTCTTAAAAGGTTCTAGTTCAGACTAAGTTTGACACTCTAGACAAAGGATTTAGGACTATTAATGATAGCCTTGTGATTACTGTTCTTGGATGGCACACAGTTTATGACAGCCCATTCAAAAGTGTGTGTGCATGTGTTTTAATGAAAAGTACAGTGTACCACTCCTATAACTTTTTCCTGTTCCCTGAGAATAATAAATGAGAATTTTCTATTCCTCTGTGCTAGGCAGTATGTAACACTTGGAAATATTGGAATGAACAAGAGAAATAGTCTATCCTCATGGAGCTTAGAGTGTAGCAGAGGCATCCGACATTATACTATTAAAACTGGAAAATATAGAAGTACAGGTTGTTATGAGTGGATATGGCAATAATAATGATTTAGCTAACATTTAAATAGCTCCTATTATGTGTCAGTCACTATTCCAAGATCTTTGTATGTTAGGTAGTGCTCTTAACTCTGAGATGCAGGTACCGTTATTAATACCTTTTTACACTTGAGGAAACTGAGGCACAAGCTGACCACATTGTAATTGCCACAGTCACATTGCTAATAATTGGATTTAAATTTGGCTCTAGAGACCATGTTCTTCACTACGTTATAGTACTGACTTGGGACCTAATCCAACAGAGGGCTAATTGGGGGGTTTATTAAGGAAGGGATACTTGAACTAGAATTTGAAAGTAAAAGTTAAGCAAAGTTTAAGTAGGGGAAAACATGAAAAAGTGCTGGGTAGGGAAGAACATGCATCCTTAGCAGAACAGAGAGGAGGCCAGAGAGCCACAGATGGAGGGAGGCGTGAAGGAAGAGGCCCGGTTGAGAGGTGGGCAGGGCCATGATGAGGATTCAGGGCTGGGTCAGTCCTCAGAGTCACAGGAGTAGAAACGGAAATGGCGTGATGGGTCCTGTGCTGCTGGGAGGACTGTCCTTCAGATAGCTGAGGGCAGTGCCCACCACTTCCCCGAGGCTTCTCTCCCGTTTCAGTCCCCCAGTTCCCTCACCCTTCCTCACGTGATTTGGTTCCTAGACCTTGGTGGGCATCATCACTGAACTCTGTGTAGAACCTCGGAATAGTATTGAGTGTGTTTAATAGTCATTTCCCCCCAAGGTTCAAGCGCTGTCCTGGTGGCCCTGACAATCATAGCCAGCGCCCTGGCTCTGACGCCCACTCACTACCTCACCAAGCCTGATGTGGAGAGGCTGAAAGCGTCGCTGGACCGCCCTTTCACAAGTTTAGAATCTGCTTTCTACTCCATCGTGGGACTCAACAGCCTCGGTGCCCAGGTGCCAGATGTAAAGGTAAGGCTTCTTTTGTCTCGGTGGCCTCATCCCTTCACTGTGTTCCTTATGTGTTCTTCATAACTGCCTTTTCCTCATTTGAGGATAACCAAGGTTAGTTCAATATAATAAATACTTACACCAATCTGACAGATTTTTTTTTTTTTTTTGAATGCCTAATATGTGTTCAGGACCTTGTCAAGGTATCACCAGACTATAAAGAAGAGTAAGTCATAGATCCTCTAGAAACTTTTACTGCAGCTCTGAGTGGGACTGTACAATACCACACATACTTGTTAAGTACCTTATATGTGGCGCTAATAAGTAATAAAGGATTTTAAGATGGGAGAGCATTCGGATTTATTAAGTCTCTGTCCCTGTCATCTGGCGGTTCTGATGTGAACCTTTGATAAAAAAAGTACAGCATGATTAAAACATCTCCTGGATATAGAAACAGTTTAAAGTGACATTTCATTCATTATAGTAGCTTCAACAGCTGGGTAAGAAATTAGGGACAGGCCTCTCATATATAATAAGACGTGTGTTAATTTTCTATGGCTGCATAACAAATGACCACACACTTCGCAATTTAACACAATACTCATTTATTAGTTGATAGTTGTATAGGTCAGAAGTCCAGGCAGGCATGGCTGGGTTCTCTGCTTAGTGTCTCAGAGCCAAAATGCAGGTGTTGGTCAGGCTGGGCTCTTATTTGGAGGCTCTGGGGGAGAATTTGCTTCAAGTTCCTTTAGGTTGTTGGCAGAATCCACTGCCTTGTGGTTGCAGGTCTGAGGCTCCCACGTTCTTGCTGGCTGTCAGCTAAGGACTGCTCTCTGCTTCTCAACGTCACCTGCATTTCTTCTCATGTGAATCCCTCCCCTTCTAAATCAATAATGGCATGTTGATTCCTTCTTATTCTTCAAATTTTTCTTAACTCCTCTTCTGCCACCAGCCAGAGCAACTTTCTCCTATTAAAGGGCTTACCTGTTTGGGTCAGGACCGCCTGGATAATCTCGGAATTTTAAGGTCAGCTGACTTGGGGTTTTAATTATGCCTGCAAAATCCTTTCATAGCAGTACTCTATTAGTGTTTAAATGAATAAGCAGGGGATGGAAATCTAAAGGTGACATCTTTCGAATCCTGCCTATCCTTTCTTGGATTAGGATAGAATTGACCCTAAATCTCAGTGGCTTATGACAAAAGTTTATATTTTGCTCCTATTGGATATCCATTATGGGTCAGCTGGGGCTTCGTTCCATGTTTCCTCAGTCCAGGATTTAGCCTGCTGGAGCAGTCTCTGCCTAGAGCTTGTGCAGAGGGCAAATGACAGCATGGCTCTCAAAACTTCTCTCAGGAGAGACATGTGGAACTGCTTTCATCTTTCTCATTTAGTCACCTAAAGCAGATCACATGGCCATACCTGGGTTGACAGATCAGGGGGGTTATACTCCTTCAGAGAAAGAATGTACTTTAGTGAGTGGAACTCCGGAGCTCCTTTGTCTCATAGCTGCTCT